ATAAAACTCAACTGCCTAACCTATAACCAAAGTCTCCTTTTAATTTGTTTTTTAAAAAAAGCGCTTGACAAACTTGCCCCGCATGCCGAAGTTGCCCCGATCTCCCCTAATAATTAAAACATTAAGTAAATAATACAAGAAGTGACTAAAAGTTTTTATGATTGTTTTCTGATCAGGATCCTCGAGCGCTTGTGTGAGGCTCGGGGATAGAGGGGGGGCCCTTTTTGCAATTATTTTGAACGAATGAAATTTCGTTATTAATGAAATTTTTAAGATTTTATTTTTGTTTTTAGGGATAGGAACCAGTAAAAGCTTGTAAATTTTATCTGGATCTAGGGAAAAGTCCTTAGTTCTCCCTCTCGACGGCCCTATCTCTGATAATTATATCAGTAGAGAAATACATTATTAAGATAGAATTGAATTTGGATTTCAGATAAATTAATTTAAAAATAAAAATTTTTTAAAATGAACGCATAAGTTACTTTTATTAACCTTCTCTCTTTTATTAACCACCTTCTCTCATAGAAGAGCTTGTTACACCCTTCTGTGAGAAGACATTCAGACATTTCATAAAGGAGTAAGATATTTAGTCTTACATCAATACAGAACTAGACTTAGACTTGTTAAAGCTAAGTTATAACATATCTCATATAACGCCTTTTCCCTCCACCAAGTCACGATACATATAAAAATGTGAGGCCCTAAGTTGTAGACTCGTAATGCGAGATCCTAAGCGGCAGCTTGTTTAGCTTACACGAAAATCAGGCCCTTCATCAATACATAAGATGTATTTCGAAGAATAGTTTCTTCTTAGCTGTAACCACAGTACCAATTTTCTTAAACTTCATTTATAAGCAAGTAAAAATCACAAATTAGTACAGTATATTAGGTTTTTATTTTATTTTTCTTTGTTTTTGTGTAACTAAGTTTTTTAATAGGAAGAGGAAGGCCTTTTTATTTTTTCTCTCATTTTTTCACCTCTTTTCTTTCTCCTATCCTTCACAATTTTCAAAAACCTCAAATGCTTTTCCCTCTTCCCGATAAAGAAAAAACTTAAGTTATATAAGGAGAAAGAGAAAAATTGAAATTAGATGCACTTATTTGTTATTTTTATTTGTGTATAGGTGAGGTTAAAGAAAATTAGCACTGCAAGTTACAGATGAGGAAGTTTTGTAAATTGGATAAACAAAAATGGTTTCAAGAAAAATAAGATATATATTTAAGTAATGAATGTATCAGTAAACAGGCAACGTAAAGTTTCCCGGGTTTTCGTTACATATCTTTTCGTAGGTTTTCTTTATGGGAAAAATAAGAACATATAAAACAACTTCTAGCGTAGTAGTTTGGTTCTACAGATAATATTCATAACTACAGTATATATGAAGCACACATCATAGTTAACTGATTTTTGGGTAATTCTATCTGTAGTTCATCAACTTACTGTACAATTTATCACTTACTTTTAAAATATTTTTGGAATATTTCATTTGAAGTGTCTCTAAGATCACAACAGTTAACAGAAAACGCAAAAATAATATTTGAATTATGAAGTGATTAATATTAATCTGAACTTAGAACGGAGATTAAAAAGAACATTGGAAATTTAATGGTAGTTAACCAAATTTTCAGATGCAAAGTTATCTTGAAGAACAGTACTTTAGTCATCTACCCCTACCTTCGTTACATTCGAATTTTGCTTTCCTATTGGTCGAAACAAGCATGTAGTATCTTCTCGACCAATAGAAATGCAATAAAGTATCAATATATATTTATAAATAGGTTGTAAGAAACGTATACTATAAATATGACAGTGTGATATTATTAGAAATCGGT